TGAAAGTCAAACTTAGGTTAGAAAAGTATTTCTTATCTATCTCTAAACACTTATTTTTCTCTGATAAGCTCTGCATGTACCCCATGTAGGTGAATAAGCAATTCCGTTGGTATTTGTTCCCTTCGGAAGTAAATCTTTTTCGTTTTAGATTTGCAGTTACACAGATTGGTCTATGAACACATTTAACTGATATACATTTTTATGTATGTTTAAGCCCCAATACACAGTATTTGAGACTTTCTGCGATATCGATTTAAAAGTGGATCACACGGTCTCATGGTTAGGGAATAGAAATATAAAGGAGTGGGAGGTTTACCAAAAGGCAGCACACATGTGCATTGAAAACACAAACACCTATTTAATGTTATAACTTAACGACCCCCCCCCCCAACCCCCCCCCCCCCCCCCCCGCTTTTTTTTATAGCGGGATTGCATGTCGTGCTCGATTGAATAGTATCTTTTTGTTGCCTTCATTCAAACACGCAGAGGAAAGGGTGGAAATGAGGAGGACGTGGGGGGGGGGGGGGTAAATTGTCTATTATGCTACACAACTGCTCCTATTATGAAGTGCTTGGTACTGGTGTCTGTTGCACGGCTCTTTTATGTTGTACATAGAAGGTGTGAGTTCGAATACCTAGTGGGACGATTTTTGTCGAATCTGTAGGTCTGTTTGCTGGGATGTAGCATCTCGTTCGCGTGGACTATCCAAGACATACAAGGTCGAAGCAGTCCGACCTCGAGATGATCTAATGGTGTCGTCGATTGGGGCGTAAAACACTAATTGCCAATCAGTCAAGTGCTTGATGTTATCAGTTTGTTGGTGTCTTAGCACTTAATTGGAGGTTTGCACTCTTTACTTCCCGGGAAGCCGAGAATGTTTCAGAATGGTTTGGGGGCTGCTGTGGTAACATAGATAGTAAAGCGCACAGAGCATGCTGTTGAGTGGAGACATACGCTGTCCAAATGCTATTTATTATCATTATTATTGGTTCTGAGATAATCAGACTACTAAAGACACAAAGGGACTTGCTGTGGCTGGGCTTACTGTAAAAGCAGTAGCTCCCCAGAGAAGCCAACATGATACCGTCCTGCCAACAAAGTGGAGCAGCCAATAATCATGAAAAGTTGGAGACATCGTTACCAGCATTTGCTACTGGGTTAGTCCTAGCCTGCGCCATGGGAGTCTAGCAGACCCCAGCAATGGTTTATTTCTAGCTTACAAGGTTAAGTTAAAGGTTAGGTTCGAGTTACAGTTAGTGTTACGGTTAAGATTAGGGTTAGGTTTAGGAATAGGGTTTGTTATAGGGTTGGGGTTAGTGTTAGTGTTAGTGTTAACGTTAGGGTTAGTGTTACCCTTAGAATTAGGGTTAGGATTAGGGTTAGGGTTAGGGTTAGGTTCAGGGTTAAGGTTAGGGTCAGGGTTATGGTTTAAGTGTTGTCAGAATTTCAATGAAATAGTTGGTACCCGAGCCATTAAACTATTTAGTTCACAACATTTGGAGTTAGCATCATTACTACATGTATATTATTGTCATGATATCAGCTATCGATTCTGACAGTCATTAGTTTTGATGAATTCTCCGTGGTAGACAAAGATCAAAGAAATAAGTTTCAAAGTAGTAACTTCTACTCAGTGGAGTCCAAAAGGCTGGGTAGGAACAATTGACACAAAATGCGGGTAAACATACTTTAATCAGGCGCAAATGTAGCAAATACCCAGTTCAGAAATAGCAAAATAATGCAGGCTGTCTACACCTTCCTTCGGCTAAAATAACAAAAACATACAAGTGACAACTTAAGGCAAACAAACGTTTCAACTAGCGAGGCCTTTATTTAGCAGGAACCACCATGAAACAGTGAATTTTTGCTTTGATTTTTTCTTCCTTAAGGAAGTGGGAAAAGGGGGGAAAGGGGGGGGGGGGGGATGGAAGCTTTGTGTTACAGGCCATGGGAAAAGCTGGTTCTGTTCATTGTCTTGAGAGAAGACAAAGGCAAGGGGGGAAAGGGGGGGGGGGTTCTTACTTTCGGGCATGACTTAAAAATAACGGCAAAATATGGTAAAAGTATCTGAAGCTACCATAGTGCTTTGATTGACATATTGACGTATCTAGCAGAAGTAGCGACACGTTGTAGTCATGATGAGTCAGCACTTTGATGCCTGATTTTGATGAGCTTTGAATCAAGACTACAGTCATAATATGAGACTCAATTAATAACCCGCGAGGAAGCTATTTAATTGTAAGACTATGACCACTATCATCTTTATGCATTGGGTAAATGCGTTTTAATGTACCGCTGTCGGAACAAGAGAAAGATTAATTTGATTATAATAGTTGGACGTAATAATAGTCCACTGCAAATTGCAAACATTACTCATAATGATTTAAGTGGTAGTACAAGGGAAATAATCGCAGAATTTCTAAATGTTTAACAGGTAATGTTGCAGTTAAACCATTACGTCCCCTTATGTATTCACATGACAAGAGATGCGTTTGAATCATTTTTAGATTTCCCGATAAAAACAGTTAAAAAGCGAGCTCTGAATTTGGTCACCTGTTTCTGAATTATTCCACCAACTGATACGTCAGCTACCTCAAGAGCTCATCCAGCTCAATATGCGCTTACCCCCCCCCCCCCCACCACCACCAGAACCTCTTCATCCTTCTTTCTAACCCCTCTCACCCTTCCTTTGGCCCTCTTCATCCTTTCTTCCCCTTCCTCATCCTCCCCCCCTCCTCGTCTTTCTTTCCCTTTCCCATCCCATGCGCTCTTTGTGAGACTTCCCTTTTAATGATCTAATAGAGCTTGTGAACATTCATGCCCAGGTGCATTTGTGGGTTATACCTTTGACGTATCAGTTCCCCCTGTCTCCTGCCTTCTTTTTCATGTTGATTAAAACTCTCAGAGGGATATCCAGTGGCCTTTTGGTCCGGAAGTTTTGTCCATAGACTTGAATTATTCCATCATAAGTCCGGGCACTGTCATGGTCGAGCAAATTAAGGCAGAAACTCAGGTCTCGCTGTAGATGAGTCCGCGAGTAACGTTTGCCTCTTTGGCCCTCATTTTGGTTCCAGATCGTGAACTCCTTGGTAAACCGGAATTATGTGCACCATCGTGGATATAATAATAAAAGTATATGGTTTACTCAAAATAATTATTTCAAACGATGTCTGTAACAAAATATTTTGGTGAGTGGCCAGTGCGAGGTGTTCATTAGAAAAAAAATGATAATCCCAGCTTTAAAAAGTAATCAGGGCGCTGCACACGAGCAACGATGTGTTAGAAAACAGTGTCTATGGCATGATGGCATGATGGCCTGAATTAATATTAATATAATCTCTTAAATTTGATGTACGCCACAGATATTCCCGCGGGGGGGGGGGGAATGTCTATTTTATGCCCCCAAAAGACAAAATTTATATCATTAAGTAGGCGGGTTTCGACCTTGCCTGTCAAGGCCAACTCAGGCTAATAGCGATACAATGTCCCAGCAGAAAGACCGTACATTTTCACAGGGAAGCCAAAACTTTATTGTCGTTTACACCCCCAAGATGCCTCTCCGTACTCCGTATGTCGTATAGGTTCAACACGATGGGTAGAAAAAAAATTTTTAAAAGAAAGAAAAAAATAAAAGAAAACACGTACACATCAGTAGAAAAAACTTAAAGCGAAATCAGACAGAAATTCCCCTGAAAAGCCCCTGAAAAGGGTTAGTCGTGGTTTACTTGTTCCTTTTTACCTATTTATCGGATTTTCTACGTCAAGTAAAATAGATAGGGCACATTCGAAGTTAAAATACTAGGGAACATGCCCAAAATGAAAAGTTAAACATGATATTAATGCCTTTTAACACATGTGTAAATCGGTTTACGAAAAAGCAAAACGATTAACAATATCATAGCAGCAAAATTCATAGTTAGCATTATCGACAGCAGCAGTACATTTTTAATAAATTTTAGTAATCTTATTTCAGATAACTCCTCCTCCTCATCTTCTTCCTCCTCCCCTTCCTCCTCCTGCTCCTTCCCTCCCTCCCTCCTTCCCTCTCTCCCTCCTTCCCTCTCTCCCTCCTACATCATCATCATCATCATCATCATCATCATCATCATCATCATCATCATCAACATCATCATCATCATCACCAGCATCAACAACAACAACAACTATAACTGCAACTGCAACAACAGCAAAACAATGGCTTTTAAAAAATCTATAGAGATTGGTAATGATTGGAGGATACCTGCAAAAATGCTAGCAGTAACAGTCGCTATTTGTATTTTGTATTTAGATAATATAACGACTAATAAGGAAAAAAGCAGCAATACACATCGCATGTTGCAATCAGGCTAAGTTTGCAGAACAACTGTACAGTCAACGTACTACTATTCTGTTTCAAAGTTTGTTCATTGGCGGCTTTGGTGTAATGGTTAGAGTCTTAGCCATTGCACATAAAGACATGAGTTCGACTACCCATGCCTTTCTGATGAAACGATGTATTCCACTTTGTCAAGGTTGGCCCTGACAAGTAGGGTCGAAGCAAAACCAACTTCTTAAATGATTAAAATTGTACCAACATAAATGTGCGTATGTATGGGGTGGGGGAGGGGGGCATAAGACGTTTAAAATCAATCAGGGTTGTTCAAGACAGACAAGACGAGGACATAATGTGCCACAACGTGGTAAAAATCAGGCGCTTGATATCTTCTTTAGAGATTAGTCATTTGTCTTGTTGTGGTGAAAAAAATACTCATAAATCTTTAATATAAGTTAAGATACTTGCGATTGAAGCCTGAAGCTAGAGTTAAAATCGTTTTAAATTTTGTTCTGCCAAAGTCTGGTGACTTCTGAAGCTTCAGTGTCATTTGGACCTGCTAATGTATCTTTCAACTTTCATGTGCCTTTCATCACCGATTTTTACTAATATACACACAGAGATGTGATTTTAAATGGACTTAAAAGGCGTTGAGAGAAAAAAAAGATAAAAGTTGCCCATCTGGCGAAAAAAGTCAGTTTCTTCGATTTTATTGTTTTGACAATCGCCTGATTTTACCGCGATGCAACACAAATATACATGTAAGTCTATCCTTTACGCCAAAATTACTGAGAATAATGCGCTGTTACACTGATTCATTGTGTGAGTGCATTTCGTAATCCACCGTTGTGTTCAGTAACATCTCACTCGTGACCTTGTACCATCGACCCAGCGATGCTTTCACCACAATACTTAAAGAGTTGTCTTGTAATAATGGTATGTACATGTAATTACTTTCACTATGTTCTACAGTTTAATGTACACTGCCTATCTCAAATGTAAAGGACCCTCATCCCCGTATCCTTTATTTTCCCTGATACCCTCTCAACACCCAGATTAAGGTACACAGTGGAACAAAATACCTTTCTGCTTTAAGGAACGTTAATTTTTAGAATGTTTCATGAGAGATGACAATCTAAAAAGCATCTCATCCCTAAAACTTTGCAAAAGCTTTTTCTGATTCAAATTTGTTCACACTAGACAAGCAATACAGAGACACACAAACATATAAAGGCGCAAATGGATCTCAAAATGGTATGTACACATAGTTAAAAGAAGACAAATATGAGTCATTACTTACAAGGGTTAAGTACCAATCGATATCACAGTAAAACATTTATATACAAAATTGTGCAAACCGGGAGACTAAAATACACTAAAAATTACCTTACCCAAATTTCTGTAAATTTTCTATTAATGATATTTTCTGACTGTTCTTGTCAAGTTTTGTGCATGTTCAGTCTAATCTTATTCCATGACTTTCTTGAGTTTTTGGAGTAGCCTATGAAGGGCAACAAGGTTGGGAACATTTTGAAAGCAAACTGTCAAGAATATATAAATATAATTGTATAATACGACTTTGCCAAAGCAGAAAGCCGAGACTGCTGTATTTTTCTCTTTGGAAATCGATAGCTGATTAAACATCTGGATGCCGAATGAAATCAGGAAACGACTTTTGACTTCGAAAGGTCATGTGAAAGATGCACCTCGACAAAAGCGTACCTTTAACTGGCCAGGTTAATATTGATCGTGTTTGGTCACAATGACGGACGGCGGGTTGAAGGAGAAGACTGGACTCTCTGCTGACGTATCTCCTACGTCATTGGCGTCATGCCCAAGGTACTGAGAGCTTTCAAATGGTAAATTTTCTCCTCGATCTAACCTGCCGGACTCCATATCATTAGGATCCTCGCTGACGAATCGCACTGAATTCGTCGCCTTATCTCTAGCTCTGTTTGGGTCGTCTTGATAGAGATTTCTGAGTCGTTCTATGAAAGACAGTTCTTTATCTGCTCCGTTATTTGTGTCATTGGTGTCCATGTTCCTCCGACTGCTGGCACTACCACCGTTGCTCTTGTTGTTTTTGTTGTTATAACTTGTCGAGCTCTTCATACTTCCTCCCACGCTGGCTCCCCTGTTGCCGCCAGCGTAAGAGTTTCTGACAGAGCCACTGACGCTCCGGTGAGATCCGGCGGTTTCCTCTATAGCAGACGCGAGCTCCTGGGCTTTCTTCTTTTTCGTGGCTTCCAGAACAATGTTCAAGAACGTCGTACCTGTGATCTTCTGAAGGCCTTTCTTCCACTTGGCCCTCACCTCTTCTGATCTTTTAATGATGTGGTCTTTGGCCTGGTTGTTGCGTGACATTTTGACAATGGTGGAGAGATTCTTTTTCTTGAGGCCCTTGAATTTCTGTTTCATTTCAGCCTGCACCTGTGAACCAGAATAATAATATGTCGGCGTCTGTTTGCAGTAGCAGAATGATGGACACCAGAAGACCAGAAAGAAAAAAGAAGGTGGAGGACGGGATAAAGAGACAGGGTGGAGACAGGCAGACAGACAGACAGACAGACAGACAGACAGACAGACAGACAGACAGACAGACAGACAGACAGACAGACAGACAGAGAGAGAGAGAGAC